GAGACGCATGAAGTTGGACACGGGTGGAGCTTCTGCTGGCAGCTGGGGTTGGCAGTCGGCGACTGGGGGAACGGTGGGCAGGGCGCAATGCAAGCGCTTCGTAAATTGTCAGATTTGTAGAGATACAAGGATGCTAGGCCTAACGACACGAGTGTCCGACGAACAGCCGATGCCACGCATCGCATGCACAAACGTGTGTAACGTGACTTATCTCAACGGTTCGAGCTCCGAACAATTGACACTGCATCGGCGTCCACACCAGCAGTCGATGGACGCCGCGAGCCGAGCGAGGTTCCCATGTCCCGAACCACACAGGCGCAAGAACCTTCTGTTTGCTAAGATCTGTCGCCGAATACTATATCTGGTCGTCCTCGGCGATTTCTGCAGCTTGCAAAATGTCGAAAACGAAGTATTCGGAAGCCGCAGCTGTGCGCACGAACTGTTGCGTTCTATTTGCAAAATTGAGTTTGCCAATTGCAGACACACGGCGACAGAAGCAACCTAAATTCCACCAATCGCCACTGGCCGAGTGGCCAATTGCCCACTGCAATTTCTCGTTCACCCTTCCAAAATGGTACACATTGAACAAGCGGAACCCAACCTGCCGTCCCCAACGAGGAGGCGCGGCCATAGCACTGTTGCCGTGACCCACTGCCCCTATACACCCCACAGCGATAAACCTGTCGCTTTGCACAAATGGAGATAAGAATCAAATCGACGCACAGGCGCCTGATCATGCGGCTGCGGAACTCTTCCAACCCCACCTGCACGATCCCCGGCCCTGCATGCTTCTGCTTCCCCTTGGAGGATTTCTACATTCTCTCAACACAACAGGCAGCTGCCCACTCACTTGGTGCAGGAACCCAATCCCTCCAACTGCTATCCCGCCAATGCACATTTCTACAACAGCCGACTTCAACAATTTCACAAAGCAATGCCCTGCCCGCCCCGGTCCCTATCTCACAGTGTGAAGGAACCTGCCCTTCTCCACCACACATGGCCACATGACCCTGCCCCCACAACTGCGGCTGGGTTGCATGCCACCACCACATCGGTTGCATGTCGGGAGGGCAACAGCCACCAATCACAATAATATCGCCCTGCCTTACACCTCAGCGAAGCTACCCCCTGCTGCCCGTGGCCATCCGCTCACCTCTGCTTCCTCATACTTCTTCTTTGGGTAGGACGCCTGCAGCGCGATGCCACACTCTCCAAGGCCACCATCCATGCCCATCCTGAAGCGGATGTAGCCGTGCTCGCCCCACTGTTTGCCCCACGAGTTCTTGATGATCCAGTAGCCCTCCCAGTCTTTGGGGGCGTGGTAGCCTACCAGCAGGACCCCATGGTCCAGGTAGTCCCCGCAGGGCTCGTCGAAGATGCCACCAGCGTAGAACATGAAGGCCATGCTCGAGGCGTCGATGCCCACGCTGACAGGGCCCTGAGCATCGGGCAGAGTGTGTGAGTGTGATGCATTGTTTCTGTACCATGAATGCGTTGCTACCATCCCTGTTGCTATGGTGTTGTGTGCTGCCATTGTTGTAGTTCACAGCACTCGACATAGTTCCATACCCATGGTTCTCCATTGCTGCACACAGCTTTTCAACACATCGTTGCTACACCAGGCAGCACATGTCATTTATTTAGCCTGCCGATCCTTTTTATTTGCCCATCCTTGCAGTTGCCCAAGGTCAACTCGTCCCACTGGATGAATGACACAAAGACATCTGCACATGATTCATTATCCACAACAGAACGTTGGGCAAAACTGCCCACCCAAAGAGTTGGCAACGTGCTCGAACATGACCAGCTGAAAGGCACAAAGACAATAAAGGAGGTACGATGCACTGGAACAGGAGTCCAATGCGCCCGTTCCACAATATTTGTGCAGAAAATCCTCATGTTTTTGATGTTCAACGTGATCATTCATCGGGTTGGTAGTCCAATGCTGGAAAGAGCAAAACAAATCGAACGGCCAAAATCTAAAGCGACAAAAGCTCTGCTCTTTTCAAAAGCAGGCTATCCCGCGGGTGCCTGTGTGGCTGTATTTCAATTGACAACGGTGTAGCTGCAATGTAAGCCCTGTAAACTTGGGACCAGCATAACTCAAAGCAGGCATGGCTTTTGTGCCACTCCTGCTAACTCTGCACAAAACTCACATGCAGCGCGACAGCCTTTTTCAAGGCATGCTCCGTCTGTGGCACATCATGGTGCCCGTCGATGGTGGCGTAGTACAGCTTCTCCTTCTGGTGGTTGCAGGGCTCGTCCTCCCCAACGTATTTGTAGTCCTTCTCTAAAGTCAGCCCATGGTGCTGCGCAAATCTGAACGCGTCATCCATCTCGCCCCCTTCACAGTCAAAGAATTGCTCAAACAGACAAGAAGAAAAACGATGCACTGGGGAGGCGTGCTACCGATCACCTTTCAGAAGAACTGGAAGTTGTAAAATATGACAGAAACATGTTTGACTGGGTGGTCAGCAGGTCACAGAAAGGGCCACCCCCTTGCTGAGCGCAATTGTCATGGGCCCTATTCCTTTACATTGATTTACTGTTGCGTACTATATACAAATAAATACCAACTATATCTACAGTGCGAGACCCTGCCCGTTCATGCATTTCGACCCCTGCTCAAGAGATGCTGAATTGCAGCAGACCTCCAATGGGCCTGCATCATGAGTTCAAATGGTTTGACTCATGCAACATTACTGCATCTGTTCGGCCTTTATTCACATGTGCAAACAGACAATGGATGGACTGTTGAATGGGTGGGCAACCACCCATGGGAACCTTGCTCCTGGACAAGCATATTTTGGGACTCTTGCATACCATCGCAACCGTAGTCCCTCTTGACGCAGTCCACCAGTTCCTGCTCGCTGAGGGAGTAGAGCGACCCTGTGTAGAGGTAGTTGATCCCCTCGATGGCGCCTACAGCAGAGAAGGCCCAGCAGCTGCCGCACTGTGGCACAAAGGGACAATTGTGTGGAACAGCCTGGAAGCTACAAACATTTCTGCCACGATTCACACAGGGCCAAAGTGCAAAGCAGCAAGTATAGCGGCCTTTTCAGAGGATTCGCTGCTTTGGAAGCGTTTCAGCAGCATGAACCCGTTCCCTGAGCAAATCATTATATCGAATTTACAATTCGATAATCTATTAAAGTTACTGTCAAAAGTTGGTTCAAGCGATTGTTTGCAAGTTTACCCTTTTGCAGGTCTGCCGAATAATAGTGCTGGAATATTTACTTGCCAAGCACACACTAGGAAATGCAGCATACCATTGTTACAGATAGTAGCTTACTTAGAAAATGCGTTCATTGCTGCAAAGCAGGCACCCTAGGCATAAGCAGTATCGTTGCGGAATGAATTGTATTTAACATCAAGACCAAGTGAATACCATTCAGGTGAGTTCACACAGCGCCCTATTCGAGGTGTGCACCGACTGGGAGCTTGTACAGTGGCTTGCGTTGCAAGGGCAACAGCAGCCTGTGCCAATGCACCACACAGATGCACATGTCCATTACCAACACAATTCCACTCAAGGGATGCGCTGTATTTACTCCAAGTAAGCAATCACACTCAAAACAGAGGGGAAGTGCTTTCGTAAATCACGAATGGCAGAATAGGGGGACGCCAAAACACACATTGATGGATCAGATGTGGCAAAATCAAGGCAATCGAGTGTTGAACAATGTGCAACAATGAGATGGCAAAAATGCTGTGTCCAGACTCACATCTCCCTGGTCTTTCACATGCGTCACGGCGCCTTCCTTCCTCCAGTCGACATTGTTGGGTAGATCATATTCTTCGTACAGCCAGGGCTCCACATCCAACGTCCTGTTCGAAGAAAACCGGCTTCCGAGCCTTCCCCGGTACTCTTCGATTGTATGGTCACCCATCTCATTCAGCATCAACTGCAAGCAGTACAATTGCAGGAAAGTTGCAAAGAAGACAAGGTCCAACAGCTCATGGCCAAACTCAACTGCAGCATCACAAAATGTCATCCAGTTTGTGCTCCAGGCATGGCATGTGACGTGACATTGACTCAAGGCGCACGTTACATATTTGGCTGACCTGTGCATAAAACAGAACAGACAAATGTGCAATTTGGGGAATTGTAGTGTTCACTGCTGCTCACAGACTGTACAGATGGTAGTAGCAGTGATCCTGACCATTAACGTTCTTGTTGCTCACGGCAGACACACGCCTGGCACTGCTTGCAAAATGCAAGGGCGTTGCGGCCAACGCCCTTGGCACGCGTGTACACTGCCAGCGTGGTGAACATTTTTTCGCTCTTTTTTCGCTCTTTTCTTCTTTTATTTCTCCTTTTCTCATGCGGGCGTGTGTTTCAAGATCTGGTACTATTCCAGGAAACCACAGGTCGCACAAAGGAGCACCTCCGCTCTAGCACAATAAAATGGGCCCTTTTCTGCTTTGTAGCATTACAGGTTAACCAACTACAAGAACGAAATCGAAAACGTCAGCATGCATGAAAAACACAAACAGGTACTCCAGAGTTGTTCAAAAAAAAATGCGGACCTCGTCACTGTGTGTTTATCGTAGCGGCATATAACCATAGCAGGAAGCGCGTCCGTCGTCAATCACAAACCAGCGTTCGTCCCCCCACCCCAACAACGTATAATCACAACAGTTTCGTTTTACTCACAACAACCCAGACTCGCAACAGATTTTTTGGCTTTCTCCCTAGAACCCGCAACAGGATGTAATCACAACGCAGTCGAAACCCCCAACAGCGCAGAATCACAACAGCGAATTCCAACAACGTTTCCGCTGTATCGATACTGGTATCGATATATCGCTACGCCGGTCCAATCAATCACCCAGCCCGGTCCAGCCCACCCCACCCCACCCACCCTCCCCCCACACAGACCAACAAACGCGCGGCGCAGCCTTCGCGTCGGCCCCGCCCAACCCGCGCCCGCGGCGGCCAGCCCTACCCAATGGGACGTGTGCCGCTCATTGTAGTCCACGATGTATTCCATGTTATACAGCCAGTTCTTGAAGCGCCTCTCATACTCCTGCACGGGCAGGCGGCACCGCGGGTCAGCCCGCCATCAGGTCACAACACGGCCCTCCCAGAGCGTTCCCGCCGCCACGGGCATGAGCCCAAGGGCCCGGCTGCCTGATCCCGACCCCACCTCTGTGCCCTCTGTGTAGCTCCTGCCGTGCTCCTCGGCCCATTTCTTAAACTCGTGCCTGGGCTCCTCCTGTTGGGAGGCATCCGCGGCCAGGCGTGTCAAAGGCAATCGGGAAACGGGGAAGCGAGGAGAAGCGGAAACGAACAAAGAGTTCCCGCGGGAGCTTGGGCTTCCTCGCGGCGTCCGCGACGCCGACCGGTTTTGCAGATCGGCAAATAAAACCCAGAGGCCACCGGTTCAAAGCCGCGTTGGGGCCGGAGAACGGCGGGGCGAGACAATCAACGGAGCGCAAGGGGTTGGGCTGGCTTCTTTGCGGTACGCTTCGCTCGGGCCACCCCTCCCGACGGCCAGGTTGTAGCCCACAATGGGGTTCCAGCCAGCCCAGATCCAAACCCCCAGCGGCATGAGAAGCAACGCAGGGGTCTCGAAACGGACAAGGGACGGAACGGGGGCCAAGACGCTCTTCTCAGGGCCCCCTCACGCCCCGCCCCCAACCCCCTTTCGCATCAAAGGCCATGGGAGGGAGGCACTGAGGGCTGCGGATTTCCAGCCTGGGGGGTGGTGATCGAGATCGGGAGTGCCGGGGGCGCGGCACCTTGGCCTTCTTCAGGTACTTCTCGTCTTCTATGCGGTCGGAGGATGCCCCTGCGGCCAGCAGGCAGCAGGCCAGCAGCCCCGCGGCCAGCGCAAGCCTTGACGTCGAAATCATCGCCGTCGAAGCGGACGGGAGGCCCAGGGGGAGAAGGGCGCGTGTGTGGGGTGGGTGGGGGTGGGTGGGTGGGTGGGTGGGTGTGGGGGGGGGGTGTCGGCCAGGGGCGGAGGGAAGGCAGTGTGGGCGGGATGGGGAAGAGGGGGGGAGAGGCCTTTTTAGCGAAGCGAGCGCCGGGTTGAAGCGGGGACGGTTCCCAAGGGAAGGGCCGCAAGCACCAATGGGACGTCAGCGGTGGGGCCCGTCTGACGCCGGGAACGGGCGCGGCAAGTGTGCGAGGAGCAGTGGGGAAGCTCCAACGGATCCTGCGCACAACGTTGGCGTACGGGACACCTGGCTGGGTGGTTCCTTTGTGACGCTTCGGTGCTGTGAATTTGTTTCATGGGTTTAATTGGAAATGTGGGGCGGGCTGTGTGAAGCTTTTTTCACGCATCCCCTCTTGTAAGAGGATATGAGCAGGCGCCGGAGGCGCCACAGGGAAGCTTCAATGGAGGATCGCGAGGTGGTGGTCGTCTGGCCGTGGATGCCCAAAATCGCACCTGAAATGGTGGGTCTGGGGTGGCGCTTCAGGTGCGCTCGCCCCCTAAACAAGCTGCGTTGCATGAACGTGGCACTACTCGCCTATGTTAATGCTTGACGACAGATTCCAAACTTCAGATACCCTGCCCTGGTGTACACTGTCACCACATGGAACGGTTTGCTCAAGCTGCCCCAGACCGGAGCACAGACTTGCACAAGATTACTGGCATACACCTGGGCCCTGCTCGGTCTCAGTTACCGAAGTCTGGCTCCAGCACAACGTGCTGTCGACAATCTGCTGCTCACGGATTTCGATTTGCCGCCCTGATCCACAAAAATAGAATGCAAGTTACTAATGATGCCGATCACGAGTGGTGTACACTTGCAAAAGCTCATGGTGCATAAGCTTCCACGTTCTTCCACTCCGGCCACTGTGCACATACTGTTTTCTGCTTGTTTTCGTCTTGCGAGCTCTTCAACCCCGTGGACTTTTCGTTTGCCGAGCTTCGAACCACCTCGAAATTTCCACAAGAGACATGGCAGCACGTGAGCGCTATCGCTTGACATCAAAGGCCACGGCAGATCGTCCATTACAGTGGCCAACTGCTCGCCAAATGGCTCTGGAGCCTCATGGCTGCAGAGGCTTTGGGCTGACGGGTGCATCCGCAGACCACCGCCGCAATGAATCACGAGGGAGGCCGCCACTCAGCAAAAGTGCGCCGCTATGCAGCGCTGGGAAGCGAAAACCCAACAGCAGCCGAACGGGGCTTCAATCCAAACATACAGATGAGTGTATTGGGCATTGGCCTCATTGAATACGGGCACACAATAGGGTTTTGCTTCATATTAGATTTCAGTTAATTGATCATAGACACTGCTTTTCCCCGGCAGAATAGGAAGCTGAAAGCTACCTCATTGCCCTGTTCTGTAAATAGTGATAATGAATACCGGACACAAAATGATTGTCAAATGCCCTTTAATAACCAATCCTCACCAAGCGGCGTGGCAACCCGCCTTGACCAGCACCTAGGGCGCGTGCCAGGCACGTGCCCTCCTCCTTCCTTTCAACAACGCCGTGTGCTTTATGGCGCAACAAACCGCTGAGAGAGTTGACCCGGACTGCCACGTACCCCTCGCCGGGTGGTCAGCCACGCGCTGATCCGCCACCTTAGGTTACAAACACCCCTGCGGCTTGCGTTTCTGACCATTCTTATCTTGACCGCGTGCCTCCAGAGCAGGCCCCGAAGAAGCACCCCTGGCTTCCAGGCCTGCGTTGGATTTCGAGGGCAGCAATGGATACCGACGCCGGGAATCTGCAGGCAGCCGGCCGCGGTGGCGCTGCTTGGAGGCGGTGAGATTCGGAAGCATGGCCTTTGGACGCTCTCGCGCCCAGCAGGGCCTTTGATCATGCATGAGACCGCCGTTTAACTCGTCACCTGAGCTCTACCACTCGTCCGTGCTGGATCGCCTTCTATTGTGGCAACTGTGCCGGCGGACCAGCCTTGTTTTGCTGTGCGGTCATATTTTCAGGAGGCAAAGGTCAAGTTCGATGCCCGAAGCGGGCCCCTTGGTTAGACCAAAGGTTCGGCGCGAGGGCTCCAGCATATCTGTGAAGGCGCGACCGCGCCTTGTAGGTTGCGATGCCGTGGCTGGCAGGTTTTGTGCGTCAACGGGTGGGGCAGATGATGCGGTCAGGTCAACGGCCCATGGGGCAGTCGCTCACTTCGGGTCGCTTCTTTGATGCAGGTTTCATTCGAGGGAGCGCCGTCGCCACTGTCATCATGGGGCGCACTCCAACGCCTCCACGGATCTCACCGAATTCGGGCAGGCCATCTTTGCGACGCTGCTGGCCCCAACGGTGATGGGATAATATAAAGAACTTGTGGCTTTGATTGATTCGTTACTTGCATATTTTTTTGAATAAAAATGGATAATATCTGCACTGATGATTTCCTAAATATACCTACATGCAATTGGCATATCCTTTGTGGAGCGCATCATCAAATCCTTCACCCTGATGACACTCGCTCATTCATTCCCTCGACAGAATGTCTCCTGATGCAGCGTGGGAAGCGCCGACATCCTTTGCTCCAAGCGCACAGTGCTTCCGGCCCTCGATTCTCGCGTCTCAGATAACAACAGCCTCGGAGGCACCCGTGATTTACACCGGGCTGGCAGGAGCGAGTGTCCAAGGCGTGCATGGATATCCATAAACAAACCCACTACAGACGCCGCAGCCATAGTTGGGGAATTTGCAAAATGCAGAGAGTGGCAGCTCGACAGGTAAGTAAGGTGAGCGCCCCAGCTGCGGCAGGCAAGACATCAGCCAGCCTTGCGACCGTTGCTACGGCGTCTGTGATGAGCTTGACACCCACCCAAGGCCTGCACGGCAGGCAAGGCGTTAGCAGGACGCCCGCAAACAATGCTGTTGAAAAGAAATGTGTGATGCGGAGGGGGCAGGTTCTGCGATGCGCATTTCAGGTGAGCGAGGCTCTGTCCAACGCAGATATTATCCAATGTAAGGAGCGTCTGCAAAAGAAACAACAACTGACAAATTCCACTGAAATATCACCGCAATGCATGCATCACATGTATCGCATGTATTGCATCACATGTAGTGCGCTGCCACACACGACTCGACGCCAAGATGGATTCCGCATCAATCCACATTCAATGTAACATTGCGTGCCACATTATGTTTTTGACGACTGCTGAATAGTGATCAGGCTCGAACTTCGGTGCTGCCGTGGAATTGCCCAAAATCAGTTGGCCTGGAAAGGATCGCTCAGCCCACGCTTCGCCTGAAAGACGGCATTCTAAGTTTATGACCCACAAGCACTGCCTGAAAACAGTGCTCTGAAAGGAAATGTGCCCCGCTTTCTGCAGGCCGTTGTATCTTAAGCTCCGAATTTGAAGTACATACGGCACCGGCAGCTTTTCGTCCTCAATCGAGATTTCCTGATGTGCAGCATCCACACCTCTGCTGTGCCGCGCCCAGCTTCTATGCCGCGTTGGGGAGGGGAAAAAGGACAGCAGCGTTGGCCAGGCATTGCAGGTTCATGTGCAAATACTCTCCATGGGGGCTGCTGTGACCTGAGAGAACATCAATGATAGCAGGCGCAGCGAACGGCCGTTTGCTGTTCTGCGGTAACCACCACCTTTTGAGAGCGGATGCACGGCTTTTACACCGACCATCACTTAATGATTGAATTTATGAAGGCCTCAGCGTGCTTCTCTCCTGGGGTTTGCGTGGAGTCAAGGAGCTGGCGCAGCAGCAAAAGGCAGTGCCACCAGGGCACGGCGCAGCAAAACGATACCGAGGGTGAATGGGAGTCATGCAACTGAAGCTGTTGACAGAACAAACAAAACTGGCGTGCACCCTACGGGGCCCATGCAGCATCGCGCCACAATCTACAATCCATTGCAAACCACCCAGGGAGTTTCATAGCGACCAGTGCATTCCCGACAAATCCACAGACTTGGCAAACAGGAGCCCAACCCCGAGAATCTGGAATCTAGAATTTACAAATTTAGAATCTAGCAATTAGAGCCTGGAATCGGCGGCAGCAATAAAGGCGTATCTTGCCGGAGATTCATGGTGGACCGGGAAACTACCAAGCCACTTCTAGCTCCTGGGCTCACAAATACGAGGACGGCGTTTTCCATTGCTGTTCGGACTTCACGAGGTCTTACCCTGTGGGCATACAACGAACCAATGGTCCTCGACAGTATTCAGTCGCCGTTTCTTCCGTTTCGCCGCCCGAAGTGTTGCAACAAGGAAGATTTGGGATGCGACGGAGGAAGCAAGCAATACTGCAGTGCTGTGCTATTGCATTACGCTTGCTGCCCGGCATTCACAGATTATTGAAGCGGGTTGTGTGATGTATTGATAAATGCTAACACGAGGAACTGCAATGATCACGACCATGAATTTTACTGTGCTCAGAAAACAACATGTGCATACCCCAGCAAGCCTCTCTTTGTGGCTTGATGGATTCCAGTGCCCATCAATATATTTGCAGATTGATCAATGTACATAGTCAGTGGATTCCTGGGTAGCTTAAAGCCTCAGCGTTTGGGGATGATCCCGGGGATGAGTTCAACCCTGGCATGACCTTGGGCACTTCCCATGACCCATAGAGTTCTCAGACAGTTAGTGGTTAACATTCGAGAGGGTCGAAAGTTGCGTCGAATATCTGATTACTATTTACCAGTGAGGCTGCGAGGCTCCACGGCGGGATCAACATGAGCAATCCTGGTTGTGTGTTTCGGAGCAGCACGTGTAAGGGAACGCAAAATGTCGACTTCATGTGTTTTGCCAAGCATTGTTTGGTGCGAAACTCAGACCCCTCTCCAGCGCTGATTTGACACGAAGGGAACCAAAACCGACACAGTGTGGTCCCCCAGCACCCTTGTCCCTGCCTCAAGGAGTTGGCGTTGTGTTGGGCAATCCTCGTGGCCCCATTTATTGCTGCGGACGATGGTGGAAACAGGGACCCCACGTGCTCCCGCCCTTGTCAGCTCCATCGGCAGTGTCGGTTTTTGGCACAGGGGTGGAGTTCCAGTGGACGCCTTGCCGCTCGCCGAGGGCGCTGGATATGCATGGAAGTGCGTCTGCCAAAAAGGGCAAAGTCGGTGGCAGTGACCCATTGGCGATGAATTCCAATGGCATCAATCAAATCAATCAATCAATCAATCAATCAGTCAATCAATCAATCAATCAATCAATCAAACCAGCAGGCAATAGCAACACCCATGCACCATTTCCAGCACTGCATATGCCTGTGCACCAAATGCTTGTGGTGCATCTCCTCAGGTATTGCGACTCGCCACACACGTCAACGGGACGGCTTACACGGGCCATCCCATGCAGCACGCACAGTGAATATGGCAGACGCCCTTCGTTAGCCCAAGGGCATGTGATCCACCCAGTGCCACTGCGGTCGTATTGTGGAGCCACAAACATCTTGCTACACTGCAATTCTGTTACACATACATGATCTTGTACACATATACACAAAAATAACAAACTTGGCATGCAAAATGTCCGAACCACCAAGAGTTGTTTCCTTTCTTCACCATGCCATATCTCATACTATCCAGCAATCAGCCCACACATTTCCTTTGGCTGCCTATTCGACACCATCAAATTCGACGCCATCATGCCTGCGGCATTCAAACCCCAGCGCCCTTCCCTTGCTCCCCACACCGTGCACAAAGATACTTCGAACGTCTTATAGCACCACAGGTGTCAAGCACAGGCCAGAGAAAACCCGGATTCAATACGGTTTCCCCTGGCACTCGCACAAACCTGGAGACAAGTGGGGGTCCTGAGCAAGCATTGGCACCCGCCACACTGGTGCACGCTATGAGACCAGAGCGCAAAGCAGCAACCTCTCCACCGCATGCAGAACAGCACCCAGATTCGTTTGATCTTAGTACAAGCAGATGGCACCAACAGTTCCAGTGGTCGCTAGTGGGCAACCCTCTGCTTAAGTCTCTGTGAACTGCCCACCAACGGGACTTGACCTGGCAACAGCGTCCTCGCTGTGTGGTAGCTCATTCAAGCCATCGCCGATTGGCATCGCCTTGGTCTTTGTTGCCCAGGGCACGCTTTCCAAAGACGTCGCTGTCTTCTTACAGTCACCATTGTCTGGATCGCACACTGGGAACTCAGGTGGGCAGCAGTGCTGAGGATGCATGCACACACAAGAGACTCAGTTGCCATCCACTTGCACGTGTCCATGACAAAAGTATGACATTGTTGGACCGTTGCCCCTTCTTGCTTGCAGGGCAGCATGTTACAAAAAATTTGTGCGACACAGCAGAGGGCTCTAATATTTACCACAGGGGTGAAGGGATAGATTGCCACAAATTCCAACACAACTTATGCAGGTGGACAAATCCTGCGCGCCAGGCGGCCCCACAGATTCTCTACACTGGCAAGCTGTCAGCATACAGGCCCACACCTGTTGGCTGAGTTTGTATGTTTCAATGCGCCTTCAAGAAACAAGATAGGTGCATGGAGGGGCCAAATGCCGCAATGGCACTGACTGCCACTGGAGACTCACTACATGGTCGAATGTTGGTGATGGGGAACGACCCATCATTCTAGCACAGACGCTATGGATGCAGCAGTGACCATCGAAGCCTTGGAAGGTGCAATCGCCGCATTTTCCCTCATACTCTACATGCACCAACAGGGAAACTCACCACCTCGTCTTCGCAGCAGGTCGCATCCGCATAAGGGCAGCAGCCCCACTCAAAGCACATGTTAAAGATCGACATCACACAGCAGCACGTATCAGTGCTTGGGCACTCCGTCTCGGAATCGCACTGCACAGGCGGAGATGATGGTCCAGGAGCGGGTTCAGGCCCTGGCATCGGCATGGGGGCTGGTGCCACAGCAGGGCCAGGAACTGGTGGATTGGGCGAAGTCTTCTCAGGGTAGGAAGCTGCCAGGGCCATGCCACACTGGCCCTGGCCATTGTTGAGGCCTGTTGCCAAGCGTATGTAGCCAGCCTCGCCCCAATCGGTTCCCCACGAGTTTTTGACGATCCAGTAGCCCTCCTCCCCAGAGACATTGTAGCCCACGACCAGCACGCCATGGTCCAGGTCCACGCCACAGGGCTCATCGTAGATGCCCCCACCATAGAGCATGAAGGAACTGTCCCCAGAGTGAATGGCAATGCTGACAGGCTGTATGGGAACATGGGCAGCACACCAGAGATCGTCTCCATAGCAAAAGGATAATGGGGCATACAGTGGGGACCGATCTAGCATGGTGGAATTTCTGCAAACTTTCTATTACCAAGAGGAGATGATGAAAAGCAAACTCTATGGAGGTGGACACATGGCTGCACAGGAACCACATGGTCAAATTTCCTGCCAAATGAGCTTGTCTGCAGTCATAAGGCACAGCCAATTTTGGAAGATCGTTGCATTCTCTAGAACTACAAGCTGTGAAATTCACCACGATGATTTACATGCCAATCTGTCCTAAGTCATTTGTATGTGCAGCTTCTGAAAGGGTGCCCTGGAAAACACACATAACCTACACAGTGAAAATGTGCCAAAAAGAGATGGCTGGGGTATTCCAACTGAACATGCTCACACACTGACTGGACACATCAACCACTTTGGATTGAACCAATGCTCTTCACTTTCCCAACTCTCAGTCCGACACACTTCGGAATATTGATTTGCGGACATGTTTTTATTGGTGCTGGGCTGTCCTGTGGGACACTTATTTGGGCAGCTGGGCAGCTGGGCAGCTGGGCTGCTGGGCAGCTGGGCAGCTGGACAAGTTAGGGCTGGCTGAGAGATGACCATGGACTACAGTTTGCCAACAGTACACCGCAAAAATTGTGCCTGAGTATGCAACATGAGTTTGCTCAATGTCCAACGACCTTAGTTTGGCAGACAGGCACCCTGGCAGCCACTTTCGGGGCATGATTTTCACAACTAGCCTCGAGTTGCCAGCACCACATCCAGCCAGTCCCACAGTGTATTCTCTGGCAATTCAGATTCTCGTACTTGCAGACCAAAACTACAGAAGGACATGCTAGAGTGTCAATGTTTTGCCTGGAGCCGCTCACCTGTTTGGCTGCATATTGGAACATCAGATCCTCGCTCTTTGGAATGTCACCATAGCCATCGATGGTCACAAAGTGTTCATGTTCCTTCCTCACATTGCAACGTTCATCGACTGCCTTGAATTGATAGTCTTTCTCCAGGGTGATGCCATGGTTCTGTATGACCCAAGCAAAGGCATCGTCCATCCAACCCCCCTCACACCCTTTGTCAGTGGTTTCGCAGTCGATCAGCTCCTGCTCGCTGAGCGAGACCAGCTCCCCTGTTTCTATGGCATTGATGCCCTCTATCGACCCCGTGGCTGAAAATGCCCAGCAGCCACCACACTGCAACAGCATTCATTGTGACGCAACCTCAGAAGCAGTACAACTCCATTTTGGGCAGTATGAGCCCAATCCCTTAGCATACAGTATGTCGCAATTGAACACAGGAAAACCGATCACATTCAGGGTTATGAAGAGCAGCCCTGCCGCAGCAGTGTGTCCCAAACGTGCTCATGCAATCAGTCACAGTCGTACGCTAGCAATCCGCCCCTGTCTGACCACAAGGGGACGGTGGAACACATGCCTTGACTGGCACATGGTTCCCCACAGCGCCTGTAGGAGTGCATTCAATAACTCAAAACCCACCAGCCAATACAACAGGAAGAAGGCTCCACTCCCAAAAAGGGAGAAACTCCCTAATAGAAGGAAGATGCATCTCAGCATTGAATATTTCTCTAGTGATAACGATTTGAAGCCAATGAGTACCTGTTAACAGTTTACCCCCATCACTGACAAGGCACCACTGCCCCAAAGGTGAGGGATCCACTCACCGTTTCCTGGTTCTTGACTTCTGTCACAGCGTTGTACTGTCTCCAGTCGATCGCATCGACACTTGTCTTGGCAACTGGACCAGCTGCAGGAGCTGCCACTCTCAGCCGTTCCTTTGGCACACGAGTGCCCAGAAGCTGCTTGTACTCAGCAGGACTCTTGTCTGCCATCCCATTCATAGCCAGCTGAGAGCAAAACACAGAATAGTAAATAAAATGTTTACATAAAAGAATGCGGGAGACAGAATGCTCGACAAGTTGATGATTTGACCTGCAAGCACATTGCCAGGTCCTGTTTAACATAGATGTCAAAAGATCCAGCTTGAGTCTTGACAACTAAATCCTGCAGTGGTGTAATGAAAGGCTCCACAAGCAATGCACTGATCTTTTGCTCACACAAGAACGGTCGTACCAATGACTGATCCTGTGGTTGTGAAGATGAAACTGCTGGCAAAAGATTCAAATGCCACCAGTGGAGTCAGCCACAAACTTCCAAGCATCTTATTGCGTGCTTGCTTTTTGCCAGCAATGCTTGTCTGTTTTGCAATTTCCACTCCTTGCCACTCTGCCAATTCACCATCATCATTTCAATTCGCTTGCAGCGTCATTTTTATGTCCTGCTGTCACCGGTGCAAGGTTGCATAGGCTCTGATTGCAAGTGTATTGAACATCGTTGTTTACCGACCACACCCTCAGGCAAGCAAGCTCCCAATCCAGCCTTCATGAGCGGACTCACTGCCACGCTCGCCCAAAACTGCTTTTTCCGACAAGGGCTTGGCGGTTCTGTCTTGAGGCAGACACTGTACAGCTGGGACAGGACAAGAAACACCCACACCCATTGCAATTCCAATAACTCCCAACGGCCCACAACTTTACCACCGTAAATGGCGTTTTTGAGATGAGCATTTGTTTCTCTTGGAAGAACAACCCACCCGTACGACACAAGCCGCTTCCCATCAACCCCAACCAGCCCTACCCAGTGGCTCTCGTGACGGGGGTTGTACTCCACAATGTACTCCAGGTTGGCCAGCCAGATCTTGAACCGCGATGAGTGCTCCTGCAGGCCAACCACGCTCCCCTCCACTCAAACCTTCCGACCGCGCGGCGAGAGGGCCGGCGCACAATTCGGCAGCAGAGCAGTACAAAAAGAGCACAACAAAGTCAAGGTGGCGGGCTCAATGGCGAGGATGGCGTCAAGCAAACTCACCTCCGTGCCTTCGAGGTACGGCCTGCCGTGCTCCTCCGCCCAGCGACGGAAAGCTTCGTAGGGGTTGGCCTGTGGGTCGACGTCAGGCAAGCTGGGTCAAGCATGCCCGAATTGGGACCCCCATCCACCAGCAAGGTCGAGATCAGACTCAAGAATGGGGCCGGCGGCGACAGAGGCAGCGCTCAGGCAACAAAGTCAATGGCATTGGATCTCCCATTGATCAAGACGTGGGGGCCCATGGCAACAACAAAAGACGGATCCCAGAAGCTCCAGCGTCGGGGCGAGCGCGGAGAGCCAACCATCGGACGCGCAAGAAGCGGCATAGGCAACATCATCGACCGTGCGGCCAAACTGCCCAACGTCTGGCCACCACCAATCGGACGATCCCCGCCACCTCTCTAGAAAGCCCGCGGCCCCGCAACATGGACACGAGATCGGCCAAGAAGGCTCCTTCGGGACGTCGAGGCTGGGGGCTGGAATGGGACCTACCTTTGCGGCACGAATGTATTCCTCGTCGGCCGCGCGGTCCTCTGATGCCGCCGCGGCAGCCAGGCAGCAGCACAGCAGCGACACCGATAGCCACATGCCTCCCCGATGGTTCGCCATCTCTGGGAGCTGGTCGGGCGGCGATCCCGGAAAAGGGGTGGGCTGGGGAGAGGCAAGGCGGCCCAAGACAGCCGACCGGCGGCGGCTGGATTGCTGCGCCTAGCACCAGGCGCCGGAAGGTGAGGTAAGGGCAAGGGGTGGAGGAGGTGGAGGGAGGCTGACCAGTGCTTGTGGGGGAGTGTGGTGGCCATGTGACCCGAGTGAGTGGCCGCCCATGGGCCGCCTTGTGATGTAACGGCCGCTGTTAGTCAACCAATCAACCGTCGCCGTGGACTTCGCCCGAGAAGCTTCTCGTGAGGGCTGCTTCTGGACAGGTGCGACCGTCGGATTACAGGGGGATTACGGGGGAGAACGGCCCCCTCTGCGTTGAGCGTTTCCATCGATATCCATAACACGGGGGGTGTCATCTGGAGTTAACCCGCGTTACCCAGCATTCCACCCGCGTTGCGCTGCCCTTGAGGCACGGCGCCCACCTTCCAAGCAACTCCTGGGGCGTCGCTTACTCTCCCCACCACGTGGCAGCGCCACCACACACCACTTTGTGCAGCATGCGCCATCCACCTCATCACTGCAAAGGACGGCGGTCCATTCTGGCCGTCATCCCCGGAGATAGCGCAGTCAAATCACCCCTGAACGGGCAGCTACGCCACTTCGACACCCTCAGCACCACGTCAGCTGAGGGTGCACTCAACGAACAAGCTTTGTCCCTCGCGTGAACTGGCTCTTCACGAAGAACTGCTTGTCGCGACGGTGTCAACGGCCAAAAATAGTAGCGACGGCAAGGGAAGTTTCAGACGAGCGGTAAACATCCAATTGACCGTCAACAATGCAAACGCGCTTGTAGAACCTCTCGCAACTGCCCCCCAGAGCGCCACAACCAGACGCAGCTACTCCCCAAAGCCAGCGAGGTCAGGGCACACGTCAGCACCATGGGTCGGGGCAGCTTTGTCCACAGCGTAGCGATACAATACACGAAAGATGTTTGTTCCCCTCGATGAGGCTGTGCAGTGATGGAAGTTGGTCGCTTTTAGATAGCAGCACGCCCACGCTGGCAATGCTGATCTTGAACGCCAAGGAAAGCGGCTAACAAAAGGCACAGACTGGACGCGACTATTGAAAAGGTCGAGCGCTGTTGCGTTCAGGCTGTGGCGAACGTTGCACACACGGCCACGGGAGTCAGGCAGCCAGGCTGAGTGGCTAGACCGCCGCGAGAGGCACACACAACGATGCGCAACCGTTCTTACAGCTGCCAGGCTGAGTGCAACAAAACAATGTCCCCTGCAGCTTTCCCCATGACCGCAGTATTTGTAACCCCACCAGCTCTGGCAAATATCCCCCAAAGATGCTCTTTTGATATCCAGAATCTTTCTGCCACATCCGCCGTTTCACTGCAGCTTAACCCAGTATGCCCCATGGGCCTTATTCCCGTCAAACAACCACGTGGCGCCTCCACGCACCCCTCGGGGCTCCGTCTCACCAAGGTCCATGGCAGACCACTAGGCGGGCAGCCCCTAAGCAAACGCACGCGTCCAATGGCAACCTGGGTGCTCCTCATGCATCCCAAGCTGTTTCCCGGGCGTGTCTGGCTCATGTATCTCCATGTGATATGCTGCCACGTATTGGCATTGTGCTCAGCATTTTTGGTTATCTTAATGGACTCTTTGTGCGTATGCTGAAGTTGCCATAGTCTATCTTTGTCATCTACCTGCGTTTTGAGTGCCTTGAGCTGCAATACTAGAAAATTATATAGCACGCCTGACTGATGACTTCGGGGTTCCCACATAATTGAGCGCCAACTTGCTTGATGGCGATCAGTGTGGCGTGGGTGCCGAGGCTGCCCACATCCCCTCTGCACTATATCTGGACCTCACTGGTCGCCAGCTGAGTGATATCATTAATTTACTATTTTTTTTAATGAATCCCATTAGTTGGCGACCCGAACATCATGCGTTGATTCTCTCATTGATCAATTGGATGGCTTGGAATTTGATGCTGGCAACATTGTCGAAAGGCCTCCATCTGTGACTGCCCTATGGTCTGGTGAGCCACGCTTTGTCACTTGTGTTTTACAACAAGCGTCCAATCCAGAGTCCAATAGTAAGGGCTCCACCAAAAGCGAGACACCCCACTAAGACTCCCAGCAAGAAAATGCACACTATGTGCTTTCAATGAACAACCACCTCAGAGGGTTGAATCACAGGCTGCACAATCGCAGCACCCTCCTGACGACCCTGACGACATTTGTGATTCAGCTTGCCGCAAAGTGCTAACACGATTCATAAGGGACCGCAATTCAAACCAATATTCTCAAAGGGTCCAGTCCCATGAGGCATCCACCTCTGCAGCTCAGCACTCACACTGGCCAATTCCCTTTTGAACCGATGGATATTCAGCAGGAAAGGGGCAGAAAATCAGAGAACAACAATGTGAACATCAATGCCAAATTGATGGCAGCGAGGGAACCGACAATCTGCCCGCAATTCCAAAGGACCCATAGAATTGCTCTCTCCCGCTCCAGCTCTGCAGATGAAGACTCTACTGGATCCCTCACAGCCTCCTTTATTAGCACCAACAAGACATCAGAGTACTCCACAATTTCCAAGATGATGCAACTGCCAAGGAACCTCTTTGGCAGCTTCTTCACAATTCTCCCTTGTCCGTCACAGATTCTTGCACAGGAGTGGTCACCTCAGCCTCAATTTCATCCTCAGATTCCCCTTTCCACTTTTTTCAAACACTTTTTTCTCAGCACTCCTGGAAGCCGCCTCTTGCTGAATTCTTCGCTTTCTTCGCTTGTAGAAAAATACTCTTTTTGCCGGCCACAACTTCAACAAACTCTCTCCAGCTGTCTCTGATCTTCTTGACGTCTTCTTGAACCAACAGTTGACCAGTTCGGCCTCAAAATCAATCCTTAGGCCTTCTTTTCACAGGCACTCCAGGTAGTGTTGCAGGGAGTTGCTTCACGGGTAGCGTTTCGTCGCCGGTCCTTTCTTGGGGCCCGTCAGAGCGTCCCCTTGTATCCAGACGTTGGACCCCTCGCTTCGCAGTTGATAGACAGCGCCGGCCAACGTCACGACTCCACTCACCCCCCTCCGAAGCTCGTGAAAATTTGTCGAGATATCGCCAGTACCTCAGGAGACTCCTCGAAGCTTGGCCAACGTTGGGCGCTGGTCGTTGACTAGAAAATTTTTCCCAAGGCACTTCGTAGTCAAACCGCAGGCAACAAAGACACCACAGGGCAGCTGCCAGCGTTCCACATCCTTTCTGGGCATTGCAACGACTTGAACCACAGCAAACGTAATCACTGATATTCCAGAGACCCAAGAAGGGCTTCTGGGTCCCTAGCGGACCCTCGTGGGTCAGTCAACGATGTCGAGCATTCAATTCGAACATGGTGCAAATGGTTGCCGCAGTGGCGGCAGGGCTGCAATGTCTCTCACGTTGCGAACGCTCGAGGCGGTCTCAACGCACCCGAGAAGCAACACACCGTCCCCGCAGCTGCACACAGCTTGGGCGATCCCTGGATTAGTTCACGGCCAGCTCACAAGGTGTTCCTCATTGTGCTAATGTGGCCCAAAGCCTTTACACGACCAGCCATTGGTCCCTCACAGCACTGCCCCTTGTCCTGCCGAGACAAACAACCAACTGGCCGCGCTCCATAAATATCCCAGAACACATCCTTGTACAGCCAAGATATCAGAGAGCATCCTTGGCTCAGCTCAGATCACTCCAGTTTCAAAAGTACAGCGCTGAAGACAGTTGATACGAACAATACAATGTGGATGCAGATTTGGCATTTCAGATGCCAGGTTGATGTTCGAAATGCACCATAGTAATGGTGGTTCTGCTTATATGTTTAGTTGCTTTGTTGACTATAATTCTATTCTCAATTCTTGCAGCCCCAGACCCGTGCGGTCTTGGGCGCACGCCCCGCAGTGCCACCCTCTTTGGGTGCTTCGTAGGTTGATGCAACAATGGTTTCGGAGCAGGGCCCTTGCTGGGCCCCTCATCATCTGACCCCACCCGAAGGAAGTTGATGAGGGCAGTGAGAGGCGGCCAAGGGATGCCGGTGGAAAGGCATTACCATCGAAGGAGTAAGCAAGCCAGTGATTTGCCACCCGGCATGATCGAAGCCAGCATAGGCGAGTGGTGCATGGCCTTGGCTTGTTGGGGCTAGGCCGTAGCCATTGCGGGTTGTGGCTTGGAGTGTTGGTGTGCCACGGACTGAGGGTTGGAGCCGGGCTGTGTTGTGTGATGGGCTTGCACTTTGAATGGACCAGGGGAATTGGTGTCCATGGTGGAGGTCCCAGCTCTGGCAGATAACCAAGGCCAGAATGGCGTAGTGGAGTGCTAGCAAGGACGCACTAATATGGCAGGATCAAGCGTGGCGCGTCGGTGGAGCATTGTAGCATGCCAGAGAAGCATTGTGCTGCGGGAAATTGAGAGGTGCATGGCGAAGATGGGCATGTAAATGGCCCGCATTTCGATTGGCCGAATGCACATTTCTGGAGGGCATTGCGGCCCGAGTTGGTGGGTCAGGAACGGGCAAAGAGATGCCTGAGCTGCCAAAGCAGGCCCGGTGAATGGGACGCGCTGGAGGGGCTGGTTGAAACAACGCAACAATGCAAAGGTGGTGTTGTGGATGGCCATCGCCTTGGAGAGGCATGGCCGGGCTGGTTTCTTATTGCATTGTAGATCTCGGCCGGCGTCATTGAATGGAATAGGTCAAAGGTACAGCCGCTGTGTGTGGAGGAATGCGCGTGGCCAGAGGCCGACAATGCGGCCGATAGAAGTGAGTGGGATGGCCCTGTGCATTGAAGCGAGTGCCATGGAACGGCCCGCCATTGGGCCGCGAGTTCCAGCAATGCAAAATGAGGAAGATGCCAACCATTGAGCTGGCCATTGAGTCTAGGGGAAGCGCACAGAATGGAGCACACCGGGAAGTTGATACAACATGCAGAAAGGGGAGGCATGCGGTGGCACCATGGGCCTAACGATGC